TGGAAATTGGCGCGGAACCGGCGCGGCGGGAGCGCGGGCGGCTGCGCCCGGCCCGGCCCATCGCGGCCCGGCCATCCCGGCAGGTGTGGGGGGGCATCGACCCGGGGGGAGCGGCAGCCTCAAAACGTGTGTCTGTGTGGGTGCCTGGAATGGAGAGTGTGGGGGGACTAGAGGGGTCACAGTCCCAGCGGCTCCCCACATCCTCCTGTGTGGGAAGTGTCCCTTTATAACTTCTCTGCCCCCACCCCCAGGCAACCTGAGCTAAACTGCTGGCATACCTGGGCACCCTGCAACAGGACGTGGAGCTGCTCGTCCTTATATACCACAGTCAAGCTATGCTTGTGCATTCCTCGGGCCAGGGGAATACTCGTGCCCTTCTGTTTGAGCTGTGTGAACCATGCTGCTCTTTGTGATGAGTTCATGACACAAAGTAGGGAATTTGGTTCTAATTTTGTGAGGATGCACTAACTGAGCTTATCCTATTATTTGATCCAGGTAGAGATCTTATAGCCCAAAGAAGATGTCAAGGCGCAGGTAAGTTTTTAGCATTGTACTAATATTAACTGTACTAACAACTGCTGTTTGCCTAATGTGTAATGTCTTTTTACTCTTCGCAGTAGCCGTTTGCAAGCCAAACAGCAGCAGCCACTGTCCTGTCAAGAAGAGGCTTCACAAGAACTGCAAGCACTAGATTATGTCCATACCAGAAAAAGGAGAACAGCAGAGGTGAGCAATTTGAGCAGCTTGGAAAGCTGAATGATACTAAAAGCTTTCCAGTGCATTTGAATGGGACAATCCTTAATTTGCCAAGTTACAAAGAGGGGCAGGGGTAACAGGCTTTAGAAGGGTGTGCTAGCCACTGTCAGTGTATTGATGTGTGTCTCTTTTTCTCAGCAGGAGATTAAGAAAAGAGAAGATGGGAAAATTGCTAAAAAACATCAATATGAAATTAAGGTAATTCAATCCTGAGTACCATTTCAAACTAGGTGAGGGAGTCTGTCTGGTTTATATTGGTGAGTGTGAAATCATGCATTCCACACCAGAAAGTATTGAATAGGGGAAGGTTTTATTTTCGGTTACTAAAAACTATGGCAGTTTAGCACCTTTTTATCTCTTTTTTGCTTTTTTACACATGACTTTGTTGCAGATAAAAGATCCTTCAATGTAAAATCCACTGCAAAGTAAGGTTAGGTGAAAAAAAGGTAATAACCCCAGATATTTCAGAACAATTCCATATACAGAGCAGGTAAGGCCTAGAGGCAAGTCTAAACAAGACCACTGCACTTGTTTTAACTTTAGGTGTGGTTTCATGGCCATTTAGTTAAGATTCATAACCATGCAGGCCATCTTTACTTTCATTTAACAGTTCTTTTGATTATTTAAATCAGTTTAGGAATGTGTTTCACTAACACAGGAAGCTCTTAAAACTGACAGGCCCTTACAGTTCTCTATTTGAAAGCAGATCAGTAAAATATTATAACTTTCTCTTGCAAACAATATTGTTTTTGGTAGTTTTTCTGTTTCTAAAGTAAATGAGAATAACAGCTATGGTGAAGGTAAGCTCAGTTGTACCTGGGGTGAAACTTAAGTTTTAAGTGTTACAACTTCTCTTTTTTGAAAGGAGGAAATCCTGCTTCCCTGTCTCTTCTTCCTTGATAGCTGGCCGTGTACTCTATCCCTTGCCTTGCTCCATTCTTTGGACGAAGCAGTAATTAGGTTCATCTTAATAATTTGGTACAACAGAATAAGTTCTGCCAGGTTAGCAAGTTAAATCAACCCAGCAGAGGGTCTGACAAGCATTGGGGTGGAACTTAAGCAGTGAGGATCACAGGAGAGAAGGAGGAGTGGGACCTCCCTTTTCTCTTGGCTGTGCGCATTAAGGTAGGTTCTGCTGGAATGTGTAACTTCACTCTTGGGATACTTCAGTCTGGCTATAAATAAGTTTAGATATGCTAAGGAATCCTATGTAGCTTACCTTACAAGTGATCTGTATAGGAAAAGCTGTGCTCAGGGACAGGTGTTGCCATTCTTTGTGAATGAGATTCCACCTCAAATCCACAGAGAATAATTAAGGTTCTGTGTCACCATTTTGAAGGCTGTCAGCCATTACAGCATTGCATGTGCTCCAGGGATTTGATACCTCCTTACTCGTACTGGTTACATACAAGCAAATAAGCATGAGTGAAACAACTTGAAGTTAACTACGGTAATCTAGAATTCATTCTCTAAGGCTTTCTGCCTGAATACCTTTGCTCTCTTCTCCTTTTGAGTCATTGCATCCCATATTTGGCATTTGCAAGCTGAGGGAGAGTTCACAGTTGCTGCTTGCTCAGTGGGTATCTAGCTCTGGAGCCTGAGATGGGTGGCTCCTCTCTGGAGCACTAAACTGGAAGATAACAAGTCACTGAATTGCTACTGAGAGACAGTAGAACCTCCACCCCCTCCTTTTTTTTCCCTCTGAATAGATAAGTAGATAGGACTAGCAACCTAATGTCTTGTGTTTTAGTAGTAATTAATGTCTTTGCCTTTTGTACGGTAACTGAGCTTTTCAAGCAATGGGTAGGTTACTTGTGGGTTCATAAACAAAAGACAGTCATCTTCCTCAAAGCTGAGTTCTCAAATGTATCCCATTTATTTATACATGTTCCACCTTGACTATAGAAATTTTCATTGGCGTCTAATTTTCATCTTTTTTGGTTTCAGTACCTGAATCGATGCTGAGATCCAGAAAGACTAATGTACATTACATATATTGCTTCTGTTACTGTAATCTACTCCTTGCCTTTCTTTCTCTCATAGTAAACTCAGCATTTAAAAGATACCTTGTTTACTTTGCAGAGTTGTTGGCCCCCCACGATAACAGGAGGCATCTCACCTTGCATAATTATTGAAACACCTCACAAAGAATCAGTAACCACTGACTTCTCAAGATTCAAAAAATACAGATTCAGGAACCTCTTCATAAATCCATCACCTTTGCCAGAACTCAAGTAAGTTTAACAGATGCAGTAATTATTGTCTGAATAAATGTCTGAACTACTCTAATAAAATCTGTGGTTTTGTGCTTAGATAATACACACCTCTACTTGTCTTCTCATCCCACAAAAAATTTGATGTAGAAGCAAAAGACAGAAATTCTTTGGTTTGATTGTTTGGATTTTTTTTTCCCTGATCTTATAAACACACCAGACAGATAGTTTCCACCTTTCAGAACTGACCTTTTATAACTTAACACTGGACACTTTTGAGTGGTTAAGAGGCACATAATGGTTAAAATAAGCTTTAAATGCTTAAACTTCTCTCAGTGATATTGGAACTGAATGGCCAAAAAATATTTAACAAACTTATCTTAAAGAACATAAAAAGTTCAAATAAACTTGTGGTAATATCACTGTGCAGGTAGCTTGCTAATACAGTGCAATGTGCTTGGTGTTGTCACAGTTCTAGATAGTGGCCCTTCTGCAGAGAGATAACTTAGCTAACTAAGTTATAGTTTTCAATTTAATAATTTCTTAGACATTTAGTTGTGTTAGAAAAGTCCTCAGTTGCTGTTTGAATCAGCCTGGGGTTTAATGAAAGAGATGGTAAATTTACTGCAAGTGTGCTAAGGAAAGCTTCAGCCAAGGTGAATGAGAAGCAGAACAGGAAGCATCTCTTTAAGAGAACCTTTCTAGGTATACCTTGGTTTGTTTTCTTTTGTTCTGGCCCAAACTGGATCAGAACTTTGAGGTGCTGCCAGGTGATGCTTTGTCTCAAAGACATGTTCAGATACAGAGTTCCATGCAAGGTGCTTAATCCTGTTGTTGACAGGCATCTAGTAAAACTGAACTCCATCATTTCTGATTAGCTGAATAGGAGGATAATTTACTTCTGCCTTCCCTGTCCTTCCTTAACTGCTGTAAGATCATAAGTCATTTCTCATTGACTCAAAATTTGTAAGGCAATACTGGTGATCAGCTCTGTCTCTCTGCTTCTGCTTGGGGAAAGGTAAATACATAACTCCAAAAGTTTCAGTAGGAAATCATAATTTCGTTGGTTAACATGCTTTTCCTCTTAGTACCTGCAGGATGAGAAGTATGTCTAAGAAAAAGCCTATATGAATTAATAATAACAATTACAAATAAAGCTATATTGATGATATAGGCATCATCTTCCCGAACAGATTGGAGTGCTAATAAATTATAAGTTAGCAATAAAGAACTAATTTTTTCTCTAAATAGTTGGCTTCTAAGCCTTGAAGTAAGCTAGGAAATAAAGGGATGGATGAGTGACTTTAAACACTATCTCCAGTTTTTCTCAAGCTAAACTGGACAACTTATGTATGCTTTTGTGTTTCCTGAGGAGGAGTATATTGTCCTTTTTTAGGGGGGAGGGTTTGGTTTCATCTTGCTCTCTGAACAGCCACCAAACTAGGTGAAATAGGAAACTCTGGTTGCATGTGCAACTTTGAGAGTCACATATTCAGTTTTACTACCTGTTCTGTAGAACTGGACTTGCTGGTGATCTTGGCAAGGTGCTGTTGTGGTGATGTAAAACGTTCCAAGTATTCCTGCAGTTTTCCAATTACCGTAAGAATCTCATAGTATGTGGAATTTTTCTTTTTGTTTCTGAATGTCTGTAAACGATAAATCATGTTTTTATTATTTATTTTTTTGTAACAATGTTTTGTGTAACTTTATTCCATAGCTGGGGAAATTCCAAAGATGTCTGGCTCAACATCCTGACGAAGGAGAACAGATACGCTCACTGCAAACACTTCACATCACTACATTCTAGTTTGCAGCCTCACATGAGATCGATACTGCTAGACTGGCTCTTAGAGGTGTGTACTTTTAGTTACTTTGCCATGTGTTGTGCCTGTGAAGTAGGCAGGTAAAAGCACAGCTTTTACATAAAGATATAATAGTAACATGTACAGTTATAACAAATGGCAAAACTGTTTTGCAGCAGAACAAGCTTTTGATCCTCTTGGTGAGCTACATCTGGGCCTTCCCAGGCAGGAGGCACTGAACTTTCCCCCCAGGACAGTAGCAATAATATTTAGTTTTGCTCATGACACCCTACATCCTGCTAAGGAGAGAAGTCTTGTTTAGAGACACTTGTATTGAGATTGCTGTAGACAGACCAGTTATGGATCTCTTAACTTATGGGGTAGGCTGTATCTAAGCCATGAGACAACTGCATCTGCATTGAGGATTTATGGCCCTGACCATGTCAAGAGCTCTTGAGTGTCAGCCCATGATGCTATTTTCTGATTTCATAGTGAATTTTCAGAATTCATCATATGAAGACCAGAATATATCAATGGCTGACAGGTAAAGGTTCTTGATATAGACAGCTTCATATGTGGAAAGGTTACAAATAAATTGTATTAGCAAGGAATTTCAAGGAAAATGAAAGGTTTGGTTTTTTTTTTAAATGCACTGAATAAAAAAATTATTCAAATTGTGTGCTTCACTAGTTCCTCTAACATGGAATTTACATATCGCCATTAAACTAATTTGTTGGGTTTTTTTAAATCTTGAATTGGGAAATCATCCAATTTCCAAACAAAAATATCGACAAGGGCATTGCTTTTGTCCGGGTCAGTGGTTCTGCCACCGTGGATTTAAATCCCAGCAACTTTGAGACCTTTTCAGTAGTTCCTTACACTCTTCTGTAACATTATAACAAATACTGCTTAACATGACCAAGTTATTATGTTTGGGAAATAACACTTCTCTGAAACTCTGCCATTTATTTATGGGTGGGCCTGGTCTCTACGTTTTAGTTCTGAATCTCCTTTGGAGCAGTTGATAGTAGTATCAGAGTAATACATCAATTATCAGGCAAATATATCAGGTTGAAATGCATGAGGCTGTGCTGTTTCTGCCAGTCAGTTGCAGTTTTGGTGGTCAGGAAGGGCTTTAATTTGTAAATGAGCTTCCAACCTTATCTTGGGAAATAGCTTGAAGTAACAAGGTTTTATTCTGCCTTTGTATCCAAGTAAAATAATAAAGCGGCTGGGATCTATTTTTTGGATAGTCTTTTCTGTTCTTGTTCTTCACTTCATGTAGATTGTAAGTAATTAATAGATATCTAACTGCTTTCTAGTTGTGAAAAGGTTATGGAGTTGCAGACAAGCTGGATATGTAGTAGCCCCTCCCAATTCAATTCTAGATTAGATGAAAAAGTAGGGCTCTCCTTAAGATCTGCAGGTCTGGGCACTCGCCTTTCTTTTTTTGTTGAACTGGCATTTGAAACACTTCGATACAATGCGAGTATTAAAAGTTCTCCCTGCCAGGGAGACCAGCAATGGGATGGAGCAGATGGCGGCTCCTGCAGTTTTGTTCCTGCTTAGTGAGGCTGTCGGTGTGCCTGAGGGGCTGCAGGCAGTGCTCCTGGCCTGCCAGCAGAGCCCCCTCCAGCAGGAGCTTCCAGGCGTCTTTGCTGTAGAGCCAAAGGCTTTGATTTTTTTAGTGGTTCTGCCCTGGGACAGACCTACTAGGAATTCAGTGTGGATTTGACTTAAGCTTGATGCTTGGAGAGCATTCTTAATCAAGGTAATTAGTGTGTGTATGTGTAGGTGTTGCTGTTCTGTTGGGGTTTTTTCCTCAACAGGCTTTCTTCTTTCAGGGGAAAATTGGTTGCTGTTTAATTTGGAAAAAGTATTTTTTTGAAAGTCTGTTAGTACGTCATAGGTAATGCACATTTAGGTGGGAGCATGGGAAATACCTTTTCCAGTCCCATGCTAACCTACCATACCTTGGTATGCAAAGCTTTATGGGTGCAAAAGATGAACCTGCATTTTTCTGTTAAAGCTTGAATATGCCATTGTGTGTACACAGTTTTATAACAGAAAACTGAATGTTTTTTTTCCCCCTGTTGTAGGTGTGTGAGGTGTATGCACTCCACCGGGAAACCTTCTACCTAGCTCAAGACTTCTTTGATAGATTCATGTTGACCCAAAAGAACATTAACAAGAGCATGCTTCAGCTCATAGGAATTACCTCATTATTTATTGCCTCCAAACTTGAGGTAAGAAACACTGTTACAGGGAGGAGGATATTGAATTTGGAGTAACTAAAAAGACAGTCATAAGGATTACTTGTCTGAATGTTTTGAACTTGATAGTGTACCTACAACACTGAAGGTCAGAAGGGGAATTTTTTTTCTCTTCCTTCAACTGTGTATTTGTCAGTCTCTTGGAGAGCAGTTTTTGTCCTCCCTTTCTCCAGCAGCAGGGAAGGAGACCACATAAAGTTAAAAGGCATGCAAATGTGCTAGAAGTAGCTTTGTTTTGTCTTGTCTTTTCCCAAATATACAGCAGTTGCCAAACAATCTCAGGAATGGGTGTGGGACTTGAACAAAACCAAGCCTAAGTCTCAAACTGTCTGTACATCAGGCTGATACCCTTACAATAGCCTCCATTTAGTGGAGTGTGAGTCTCAAGTGCAGCAATGGTGATACCTCATACTGTGTGCTACATCGATGGGCCAGGAGCATGCCTTTAGATAATGCATAGTGGGCTGGATTGACAGGAAAACTTGGGATTAAATTGTTAACTTGGAATCCTCAGATCTCACTGTGGCTCCCAAGGCAAGATTGTGCACTATGAGCACTTACCTGTCCTAAGGAAGTGTGTGGGGCCATGGTGCTCGCAGAGCCAGCTAGTAGGGAAGCAGTTTTGCTGGCAAGCTGTCTTCTACTTACACATCAAACTATGCTTGGCCCCAGCTGGCATGACTGGCTTAGCAAATTTCCTTAACTATCTCTGCACCATGGATTTTGACAGAGTGGCTGGTTGTGGGATTTTCTCTCTTTTTTTTTTTTTTTTTTAAAAAAAAAAAACCACTTCTCTCCTTTTTTTTTCATTTATTTTTTTGTAACTTATGTGATTACATCAGCACTGACATTGCAGGTAACCTGTACCAGCCATCCATGTGTAGGAGAATTGGGATGATGTCTGTTTTTTACAGCATTGGAATGGCTGAGTAGAAAGATCTATAAACGAAATGTGTTCTGATTGCTTGGTCAGCATATATTTTCGCAGAAGCTCAAAGAGCTGCAATCAGTCCACTGCATTATACAACAAATATTAGAACCCAAGTAGGTTATAGGTTATCTCCTTTTCCTGTAAGTTTCATGTCAGTTCATGTAATGAAAAAAACACTGTTGTAGCATAAGAAATGTTAACATGTCAGTATGGACAGAAAAGTATTTCCTGGTGTCTTCTCAACCTTTCTTAGACCTCTAAGATGCTCATCTTCATTTTCCCTCCCTTTAAAGGAAATCTACGCTCCTAAAATACAGGAATTCGCTTATGTCACTGATGGTGCTTGCAGTGAAGATGATATTGTAAGAATGGAACTTATTATGTTAAAGGTAATAATTTGCTGTGTTTGTAAGTGCTGGGTGAAAGACTTTCCAGCTGAGCCTTGTGTTTTAATGTCACTTACTTGCTTAGAAAAAGGAACCTGTCCCTGTTTCTGCACAATAGTGAAGCCTTTGTTGTGTGTGCAGTGGACCTCTGACACTCTGGCTGGGATGCAGTCCCTGACCGGTAGAAAAGGGCAGGTTTCTCATGCTTGTGAATGTAAAAGCTCTCAACAGTGCAGCCAGCCACAGGCAGGCTGGAAGGCTGTCACTGTAATGTACTGCACATGCCAACATCCTTTGCTGTCCAGGAACAGAGGCTTCTGGAGAGACAGGCAAAGACCTCACTGCTTGGTGTTCCTCATGTTGGAAAGGATCCATCTTTACCAGCACAGGACTCGATACATTAATTCTTTCTTAATAGATATGAGCTGCAGGTTCAGACAGGTAGCCCAAAAGCTTGAGGAAATACTAATTTCCCAGCTTCTGAATGGACAAGATATATAAAATCCAAATGCACAGGTAAAAGGATACAGATTTGTGCTGATCCTAGCGCAGCCTTTTCAAAAAGCAGTGAGAATGCAACCTAAAGAGCATATTTGTAAACTTGAAACTGTGAATAATTTTTAGTATCTTTTAAGGACATGTGCATTAATCTAAGCAGAGGTATAGGAAGAAATCAGAGCACAAAACTGTCCTTGAGTGGTTTAGGGCACTTAACTGTTTGTTAAATATTTGCAGGCTTTAAAATGGGAACTCTGTCCAGTGACAATTGTCTCTTGGCTGAACCTCTATCTTCAAGTGGATGCTCTGAAGGATGTTCCAAAAGTGCTGCTACCTCAGTATTCTCAGGAAAAATTCATTCAAATAGCCCAGGTAGGTAGTAAACTGTTGGAAAATGGTTCTTAAGGCATTGGCAAGCACTACTGGACATCACACCCTGAAAGACACTTTGTTCTAAGTGTTCCCTTGTTTCCCCATGCCTGTTACTTTAAGTAACATGCAAGTTTGACTCTACCAAAGAAATTCAGTTTCGAGGACAATTATTCTGTGTTTCTTGTCTCCCTGCTTTCACAAACCTTATGACTTTTCTGTATGTTGGAAAAATAAAATATCTATTTCATGTCTTTAATCACTGTGCACTCCAGCATTCTGTAAACAGCAGTGACAGCTCTGAGAGCAAGGTGGATAATTTTGGACTCTAGGCTGCTTTTACCTGTGTTGACCCTGACAGTATTTCTGTGTAATTGCCAAGGCAGGAGCCTGGGGAGTGTTTTGACTATTTTGGAAGCGCTGTGGTTCAGTTTGTATGGACATGTGTTGTACCCAGCCTCAGAGAGGCTTACTGAAGCTGGGTAGGTCAGTGTTGTAAATACTGTACTATGTAGTATTTAAATTTAAGACAGTAGCTTCCTGGAGCTCAGCCCTGTTCTGGGGCAGAGGCTGTAGGACTGCTGTGTGTATTAGTCCTCTCTGAGACAGGATACTAAAGCATCAGTTTGTTAAAATTTGTTACTCTTCATGTCCTCAGCTTTTAGACCTGTGTATTCTGGATGTGAATTCGTTGGACTTCCAGTACAGAACACTAGCTGCTGCAGCGCTCTGCCACTATACCTCAATCGAAATAGTTAAGAAAGCTTCAGGTAAGATGCCTCTGTAAAGCTGGGCCTTGTTAGGCAGACAATTCTGGAAGCTGTCACAGGCCCACATCTGCTTAAAGAGGGTATTGGTTTACCAAGCTGCCAAAGACCAAAACCAACATGGACACTAGTATTTGTTCTGTGGGTTGCTTTTACTTCTAATTTCACTTTCTACACTATTTCAGATGTTACAAAGACACAAAATAAAACACTTTCAGCAGTGCAGCTTTTGCTAAGGAATTGAAACATTTCTTGTTCTTGCTTTTGGGCTAATATTTGCCCTATGACTTCTGGGTGTTTGGGTGATCATGAGCTATATATTTGGCCACTTTTTCTCCTGAAATGTAGTTCTCAAGCAGTCATGCATGTCTGTTTTTATAACATGCATGCATGTTTTTATAGCATGAGCCACAATCTTGTGTTCAAGCCACAAGTCACTTCAGCCTCCCCTGTAAAGCAACAACAACCCTTGTGCCCTCCATTCACCCTCCTTAGCCACCACCCTTTTAAATAACAAGCATAAGGAAAATGTCTGTTTCTGGGAGGATGTTTCTGAATTTTTAGCTGCAGTATTATTTATTGTGTTTTTAAACTCATGGCCATATTGAAACACTGTGCAACTCCTTCATAATTTCTGAATATATTCCTGTTTTCTATTCTTCAGGCTTAGATTGGGACAGCATTTCAGAGTGTGTACAATGGATGGTTCCTTTTGTGAATGTGGCAAAAAAGGTCCCTGTGAAGCTGAAGAACTTTAAGAAGGTTGCAGCGGAAGATCGACACAATATCCAGACCCACACAAATTATCTGGACATGCTGGTAAGTGGTTTGTGGATGTGCTGTTTGGGCAGCTGAGAGTTCATTACACATCCCTTGGCCTGAGGCAGCTGTGAGTGGCCCAAGCACGTCCTTGCTTGCCCTCAGTGAGTGAGTGCCCAGCCACCAGTGATGCTATAAACAACACGTGATTTACCCTAAGGCTCCCAGGCTATAAGCAAACACTTGCACTACCAGTATTGGAGAGATGTTTATAAGAGAATAATACCCACTTTGTTATGCAACGTCATTTTGGTTTTCTCAGTACCCTGACTCTGGAGCACTTGAATTGTATGATTGGTTGAGGCAGCACTGCTGCCTCCTATTGCCACAAAAAAGGAGACCTTGTCACAGCTATTAAGTGCTGTCTTCTTTCCCCAATACACAGGAAGAAGTGAACAGTGGAGTAGTGGCTACTGCCCCAGGGCAGTTATCACCTGTGTCAACAGGAGGAATAATAACACCTCCAAAAAGCACAGAGAAGAAATGAAATACAGTCAATTGTCATGAACAGATTCAGAAACAAGACTTGGTGCTTCAGAACAAGAAAGACCACACTAAAGGTGCCTCAAGCTCTTTACTGCTAGACTTGGGCAGTAAAAGACACAGCAGATGCAAACTGAGACCAGCATCCTCCTACAGACTTGACAAAAAGAGCTCAGCTGAGCATTGCACCCTGCTATCACAAGAGCCTTGGACCACTTTGGTCCATTCTGATGTGACTTAATGGTGAGAATTGAATTTTTAACTTATGACTTTCCAGAATATTTTTAATAGGGCTGGGTGGCAGGATTTGTCAACTCAGTTTACATGGCAGACTTGCTTGAATTTGGCTTAGATGAGCAAGATAATTTTGACAGCTTGTATGTATTACCTCTTCTTGACCCTTTTTCCTTTCCTGGTAAGGTCAGAGCTCACTCATGTCAGTTTGTCCACCCAGCTCAGAGAGCAGTATTACAGAGGCCTGTGGGCAAGCACATCTCTGAAACCACTCTGCGTGTGCAGGACAGTGCAGACAGCCTTATATCAAATCCCAGCTCCACAGGAGGCTGATGAATTTAAGGCCCTTTAGGCCTGCCATAAACTTCAGTTTTAGTGTATCACTGACCTCAGGTAAGAGTACCAGCAAAGAGCCTGCTGCTGCAGTAACCTGAACTGGAACACGTACAGTCCCCAGACATCCACTTGGAACAAGAAAGAACAGTATGAAAACTGGAGAAGGTATGGAATAAAGGGAACCACAGGTACTCTACAACCACTCACATCATAGGAACAGTATTTCAAACTGTGGAGCTGTATGTTATCAGTGTTTATAAACAGCATTAACTACTGTGTTTTCCTTGGAATATTCACTACCTCTGAGTCACTTCTGTGATGAAGGGCAGTACTGGGAAAGAAGGGTATCAGTCCTCCTCCCTCTTTCATGATGCTCCTATCTGTGCCACACATCCAGGGACAAGTGTTACATGACACTGAGCAGCCCACAAAGCTGCACTAGAGCATCAAGTGCCACCCACATCCACATTACACTCACAACAACTTGGCAAACTTGAATTCATGTCTTCTTCAAACAAGCCATTGTGGAACTAGATGCAGTTGCTTCCAGCCTTCTGTACAGTTTGTAAAAATAAGGGGTTTATTTTAAGATTTCATCTATTTCTAAGGAGAAAGATAATAGACTGTAAATGTTGTACAAAAATTTAAATGAATTTTAAAAAATAATAAAGTCTTGAAAGATTTTTTCACTTTTACATGTTTTGTAATAGTCTTCCAGCATTACCCTAAAAGTAAAGTTTTGCCATTGCTTGAAGAAACTTCTTTTTCCTTCTCTGTGCAGCAAGCTGTAGGACTTCCTCAGGATTGCTGGCATTCAGCTCTGTCTGGCCAATGGCTTTTATCTTGAAACAAAAGAGGAGACACAACCAGCATGAGGCCTTCCAGTAAAGCTGTTTCATTTTAAGGCATTTTCAGCACAGATCCATGGGTGATTTATTTCTGTAACATGCCCTACCCATCACACTCCTACAGCCACAACTTCACATGAAGCACACAGATTTTAGAAGAATTATAAGACCAAATTAAAACTGGAATTGAAACCACCTTTTCAGAGGTGGTTTCAGGGAGGGAAAGACTAAAGAAATCCCAGCACCCTGGGTTAACTTACTGCTATCTGCCGCTTGTCTGTCTCGCCTCTTTTGTGGTGGAGATCTGAGGACAAGTCAAGAAAAGTCACGTGGGTAGGTAATGGACTTTTCCTAGCTGTGAACATGCAGTAGGTGTGATATTCCAGCTAAAGGATACATGTCAAGTACTCCAAGATGGTGACATCCCAGATGTATTCATAATAAGAATCCATGGCATCATGACTGAAAGACAAGGCAGGTTAACGGACAGTCACACATTATCTTTAAGCATCTATAAACTTCATTGTAACGTTTACCTGTTCTGTTCCTGCAGTGCCTTAAAAGCAGTTTTATAGTCTACTTCTCTGAGGAACTGGCACAAAATAGCTACCTGTAAGGGAAGAGTCACAGTGATTCTCACTGCCTTAATTCCCCACAAAGAAGCCTTCCACAAGGTGCCTTGTTCATTCCACTCATTTTCTAGACCTAATCTAGACCTTGCTTCCAGGGTAAGCAAGTTCTGAGCACCTGAACATGGACCATTCTGACATCAACAGTAGCAACAGCTAAAAGAAAAACAATTTACTCAGATCAGAAGGGACTGACTTGGTTTCCAAATGCATTTAAGAGCTTTTAAAGCAGAGCCCAATACAAGCTTTGTTACTTCTTGGAGAATGACTGACCCCACAGAACAGCAACAGCAGTTATGAAAAACAAAGCCAGGTTCCCAACATCACCTGACAGATACCTTCTCTCTAAAAAAAAACAACTATATTATCAGAGAAAAGTAGGACAAAACACCCCCAGACTACTTCTGTTTTATACACTTCCAAGTATGTGCTTATTTACTCATTAATTTTAGTCCTATAACTGTCCTAGAAGCAAAGATAACAAAACCTATTCTACTACAGATGGCATTTCCAAGGGAAGTTGAATTCAGTCTTTTAAAGTTATCCCCTATATAAATGTTTATAAACAAATGTTTTAGTTAATGCCATGTTTCACCTCTTACCTGGGTGTGACAATTGAGTAAAGAGCAACACTTGATCATTCTCTTTATCACCTACAGAAAGGTTAAAAACAAAACACGTTCTGAAGTGCTTGTTTTGGAACACAAAACTGCAATTTTTATTGTTTTTTAATTTTATTTAATTAAGGGACCAGCTAAATATATAGCTACAGTCTTCTACCCCCTAAAAGGTCCCATACTTTAGCACATCCACTGATGAACTGAGCCTTCATCACTCTAGAGATTCCCAGCACAGTAGGAGGCAGATGTTTTCAGCAGCTGGAGCCCAGGTGAGCACTGCTGGTGAGGCAGGGCTGCTGCACCGTCCTGAGCAGGTCTGGCCCCCAGCTCTGCCCAGCACAGTGTGGCTGTGCAGGGATGAGCCAGAGATGGTCACACCACACACTGCTTGTGCTCTGGGCTTTTCCATTTGCTCTCTGCTCCACTGGTGTCCCGCAGTGCTTTCCCAGCACACAGCGCTGCAGGCTCTATGAACTAACAGAAAAGCCTTCTGTGATTCAGCAAAGGAGAAGTCTCAGATTTTCTATGGCTTTCAAGCAACAAGCCAAAAACCAAAAAGGACTGATGAGGACATGTATTCCTAAATGCATCAAGATCTAACATCTCACATGCTACAGGAATGTGTGTGTGCTGCACAGTTTTGTCTCTACATAGAATCAGGATGCTGACTGAATCCAAAGAGATTTTTGTAAATCCTGCTTTAGCTCACCTGGTCTGTGTACACATCTGGTGGCACCATCTTATTAAAGAAGTCCGAGCATACAGCTCCTGCCTGTAGGTAATAGTGAAGGGCTGCTGAATACTGGTTAGTTGCTGCCAAGGGAAAAAAGCAAAGTAAGATCTCAAAAATAAATAGAGCAGTCTTTTAATACTCAGATCAATTGTTTATGGAATTATTCAGATCTCATAGTTGAATTCAACTGGGAAAATGACTCGTGTTTCATTGTTTAAAAAGCACGGACACACAAAGTGGTTACATAGTGCTAGATGGAAAAACTACACACTCAGGGAAACTAGCACCACAGGCAAATTTCTGCCTTTTGGGGATAGCTTTTTATTTCTTCAGGTAGTTGATCTTGAATCCATCAACCTTAGAGTGGAAGTTTGTCTTCAGTGAGCTTAGCACACATGGGGTAGTGAAAGGAGTTTGGTTGGTGTGAGGAGAAGGCAGCAGCCTCCCAGGGCTTTGTGACAGGAGCAGCCTGTTTGCCCGTGGCTGCTGAAATACAGACCACTGCCACTGCTTCCAACCACTGTTCTTTCAAGTACCAGCTTCAAGGCTCCCTACATGAATGTCCTCCTTCTGGGATGCTGCTGCACTTTGTACAGGCAATAAACACTGAATAAAAACCAGGTTTATAACCCTGAATCACTCTCCCACATGTAACCTGACAGCACTGAACACTGGATTAAGACCCCTCCCTCTCACCCTAAGGGTTATAAAGCTGCAGCTATTCCTCATTCACAAGCCCTTCCTCATGCATCGTCATCTACAAACCCTTGATACTTCCCTGTATAAAATACAGATCCTCTCTGCTCTGCTTATCTTGTGCTCCACTGAAGCTGATTTCCACACTTAAAAGCAACCACTATTCACAACTTTCCATTCACTTACAAAACACTCAAGTACCATGGGTTTGCACAGTTACACCACTCATGCACCAACTGCACTAGAAAAGTGAAGGGTAACCGTTCAAGTTTCCCTTACCCTAAAAGCAAATCTATGTGACCCAGCAGTAGCTCAGTGCATCTGTGGGCTTAGACACCTTCCCAGACAGATCCACCTACACCACTGCATCTGAAGGTTTTAACCTCGTATATCACTTAAACTTCTTTTCATAAAGGGAAATACAAGGAGGGTCATGTCAAACAAATCTCGGAGAAGCAAGGTACCTCTACACACACATTAAACACAGACATTGGTTTCACTTACCAAAATAAATATCTGCCTGAATAATTAACCAGAAGTGGTTGTTTGCATTGATCGTCAAGGCATAGCTGACCAGCTCTTTTACTGTAATAGCTACGGCTTCAAAGTCCACTGATTGAAGACTAAAGGAAAAAAAGAAATAATTACTGACTTACTGGTTTTTTTAACCACTAATTTGATTTCCCATCTAATTCAAGTCCAAAGCACCTTGTGTTAAGTGTAAAGCATAAATAATTCTGGAAAATATTTTGTGTTGACTAAGACTACTGTTACAATACAGTAAATCTGATTGAACAATACAGCCTTCACAGGCTGAACAAAAAGGCAGAACTAAACCAGATTCTGAGATCCCACCCCACAGAGAGAAATTCCATTTCAGTGGAGAAATACAGTTCAACCCAGCTGCAATAAATCAATACCTACCATTTGCAACTTCCTATTTTGGCTATTATTCAAACACACCCCAAAAATATTAGTGATTTCATATTAAAGTATTATATCATTCACATAGTTACATATAGTTCAATAAAGCACACAGCTTAAAAAAACCCCATTTTTTTCTTCTCTTCTTTATTCTTTCCCATATCTCCATCAGGACCCATCAAACTAGGAACAAAGCTCTCCATGCCCTCAAACCAACCTTCCCTGAGACAGAGTGGGGGCAGTGATGCCTTTACATGGAGAAATCACACTAACAGTAACTGGGACCAAACCCATCATATACAGTATTTTGAAAAATTTTCATCATCATCATCTTACTTGGGGATGGACGAGGGCCAGATAGAAATGTGTTCTGCTGCAATATCATTCACAATGTCTTCCTAAGAGAAGAAAGATGGTATGAGAAATCGCAACAAAAACCATTTTAATAAAACCAGGAAAGACTTTGACGATGTGTACTAACCCGAACATTATGAAGTTTGACAAACAGGGACAATATTGTAGTTAGAACCAATGGTTCCTGTAGGGGGAAAAAAAAAAGTATTCCCATGAACTGATGAAACTCCACTTTCTTCCCTAAGCTTTAAAACTATGTAAGAAGTTCTGCCATCATAATAATTTCCTATTGAAATCAGACAATATTTTGTTAAGAGACCTGCAACACAAGGATACTGCAGGAATGTTTCTGCGGGAAGTTTTTAATTATTTCGGATTTTCCTGAATAACTCCTTGGATATAAACTTTACTTTTGTTTTACACATCTTTATGTTGTTTCTGTGATTACTACCTAACCTTAAACATAAGCTAGGTTTACTACAATTT